TTCTTTGGATGGACACTACGATATAAAATCTGTACTTATATTAAAAAGTTGAAAATTTGATTGATTTATCAATAAAAAATGTTACAAAAACGGTGATAAAATATTCCATTCGAGAGCTTCCATTACGTGCAGTGCGTACACAAAATCATATATGACAGAACTATTGTGCCGTTTTAAATTTTTATTTAAGAAAAGTCCGCGATATCATAATAATCGATCAATCTTTACAGGTTAACCTCTATAACAATTTTCCTGAAACTAACGCAGGAGAAACCGAAGGGTACAGCTAGTACGCGACTACATAACAAACCAGTTTCATCATTTATTTTTATATTCGACATGGAATTGCGCTGGTAAGTTTCCATAAAACCGCCTTGATATTAAAGCGGCTGAATAGCGCTGCGCTGCAGGCATCTCCGCAGATGCTATCATATTGCTTTAGTAGCTAGTTTATCGCTAGCTTAACGCGGGAATGCTAAAGAGGACGGTGAAAACCAAATAGATATAGATCCGGAAGGGGGAATAGATTTTATGCCCCTTTGGAAGCACTCTATTAGAAAATGGTGCGTTTTCAGTTTTGTATCAATTGAATGCTTTCAGAAAAACATTGTACCTTTTTTTACTAGTAAAGCAACAGTTAAAAGGTTTTTTTATTTATTTATGAAAGTACAATATTCTGCACGAAGTACTTACAATGTACACAGAAGGTACGTAGTTTTTAAAGTTTATTATGTTTTATTTTCAGTGATATTTATTTTTCATTCCAAATTATTTAAAACCAAGTAAAATGTGTCTCCTAAATTATGTTTATGACATATTTGCGTTTGATTGCGAAAATGCGAAAACGAAACTTTGATTAGCATTATAATTAATTGACGTCTTTCAGTGCCAGCTGGTAATGATATAAAAACCTACCAACCGTTATAACCTAAGTTTATAATTAAATTGATAAGTACACAATTTTTCATGTAACACGATAAATACCAAATACACAAGTACAGTCTTTTAGATTTTATGTAAATCATCATCATCATCATCATCATCATCATCAGCCTATTAATGTACCCACTGCTGGGGCACAGGCCTTCCTTATGGATGGAATAAGGAGATTGGGCCATGACCCACCACGCGGGCCCAGTGCGGATTGGTGGGTGCTAAAGACTGTAAAAGCAGCCGGGACCAACGGCTTAACGTGCCTTCCGAAGCACGGAGGAGCTCGTGATAGTAATTTTTGGTCACCCATCCAATGACCGACCACTGCGAATGTTGCTTAAGTTCAACGATCGCAGCCGAACGCGCTAACCACTTGCGCCATCGAGCTCCTATTATTTATGTAAATACCTGGGTCTATTGAAACAAATAATAGCCTCTTTTAAGACTGAGTAACTCAAATGTCTAATTACAAACTATTCTCTCCAACTAATCCTTAGGAAGGACACATCTTATGAAGATAGGGTACCCAACTTGAGGAAGTATGTGTAAACTACCTCAATCAGTTCTTCATTGTTTTGTGATAAAGTTAGGCCGATAGGCCGATACCCTCTAGGAATCCTCTTACTTAAGATTCAAATTGTTAGATACGCTTTCGTTATGGTACAGCCATGGGCACATCTTAAATACAAAGTAAGTAATTTGTGATATTAGATTTAAGTAGAGAGCCAAATGGGCAAAGAAATGTAAATAGTATTAAGAAATAAGCAGTAAAACATAAAATGTAAATAGAATATAAAGAAGGCATAAAATGTAATAGATATTAACAAAGAAATTGAAATGGATAAAAATAAGCGCAAAAGAAAAAGCACCGAAATACCAAAACATGCAAAAGAGCAGGCATGAAATAAAAAAATAAACAAAAATAGAAAAACAAATAAAAATAAAAAAAAACAAAGTCCTGATACAAATTGGGGATAACCGTAAAAAAAAAATACAATGTGACATTAACAGCGTATCTATAACCTAAGGATAATAATTGGAATGCAAACTTCCACTAATGTTCTTTAATCATAAATTAATCATGTTTTTTTTCCAAGATACATTAATTAGCCTAGCCCCAAAGTAAGCACTTTATATGGCATATGGCTTGTGTTATTGGATACAAGGGTAACAGATAGAATACACATATATAAGGATATTTACAAAGAATATATTTATATTTTATCTAAATTGACTTTAAACAATTATAAACAAAGAAAACACGATTTCATTTAGGAATTTTGATGCAAGTATTCCTACAACAATTTCGCGAAATGTCTTCACTCCGAGAGTTGACTCAGTCAATGTCGAGATCATAAAAAAAGTTCTATAAAAATGGCCAGTACCGGGAACAAGCGGCTTTACATCATTCATCAGCTACGCTTCGCTACAAAGCGCTTTCGCTTTGTTTTAGCTAGTTACTTAGTTTCACTGGCGGTGGTCATCACCTCCCTAGAATTACAGCGGGTTCGCTACAAAACGGGTCCACATTTTATCGCAGAACTTTTAATGTCGTAATATTTTTATGCATATTAGTGAATGGAATCAACTAAATCTCGCAAAAAATCATTTGGCATTCAGTGATTTATCAGTAATTTTGTAAGACAGAATAATCTTAAGACATAAGTTTAATAACCACAATCATTAAAAAGCAGAACCATCATGTCGCGGATAGCAGTCAGAATCGTCTTTTAGCACACAAATATTTAACTTTTCCTTTTATATTTAGGTAACCACACTAACCTAACCAAACTCACTGACCACATAAACCGATTATGCTTAACGATTTAATGCAAAATAATATTTTGGTAAAGGTCCTTACTTACGAGGAGCTTGATGTTGCAATTATGTTAGCGCGTTCGTCTGCGATCGTTAAATTTAAGCAACTTTCGCAGTGGTCGGAAATTGGTTGGGTGACCAAAAATTTACTATCACTAGCTCCTCTGTGCTGCATCTGCAGTCGTTAGCACCTATCAATCCGCATTGGGCCCGAGTGGTGGATCATGGCCCAATCTCCCTATTCCATCCATAGGGAAGGCCTGTGCCCCCGAAGTGTAGACATTATAGGCTGATGATGATGATGAAAGGCACTTAAATGTGAGCAATGAAATCATCAATTTGGATATATAAACAGTCAGTGAATCGATAATTATATTTAAACAAAAATATACCTTACAAATGTTCTTTCAAGGAGGATTATGCCAACTGTGTTATGGCAAATGAATTTCGGAGCAACAAGATTCTGCCAGATAGAGGGAACCCTTTCAAAATATGTTGGACCTTTCCAAACTGCCCAGTGCCTTGTAAACTTCTTGTTAATTGGATAATATAGTTTCTGTGTATTATTCAAGATCTTCCTCGAGTAATTTTCTAAGGTCAATGGTGTTAAGTTTCAGAATTGGCTGCGAAACAACCGACTTATATTGGTTCTGTTTTACCAGCAAACGTTGCATATGAGCAATCGATAACAGCATATCAATAATTGAAGAACAACACTTTATACACATTCGTGAAAATATAATGAAATTTGACAGATAAATAAAAAAGAAAAGACACAGATACCGTACTTAGTCATGCTAAAATAGAGTCATCAAAAAAGTCTTAGCAATATTCATCATTTACACAAATTGCAAGTTTTAAGTATTAAAACTGTTTATAATAATCGATCAAAAGTTCAAATAAGTTCATTAAATACCTAAAAATACACTAACCTAAAAGATATTGCTTCAATCAAAGTAAAAATAATGAATATCATCGTCGATGCAATAAAGGGCAATGAATATACTCGTAATAAAGTTTCTGGCTATTAAATTATGATGTAAATGATATAAAGTATAATATTTTTGCACAAAATAATAGTGAATTGGATAGGCCTTATTACCTTTTCTACCCCTCTGCTCTATTTTTCGCAAGGAAATTTTAGAAACTTGGACTAGCTCATAGAATACTGCAAATCTAAGTACCTAACAGATTTCCCGCCGGGATTCTGACAATTGTACTTAAACAGGTTCCAGAGATACAACAAGATCATCAAAAATTATAAGTAACAAGAGTTTTTAAAGCAATGAAATGGCTTTCTGTTATTTTTTCATAACTTAAAGTAATTTGTAAGTTGTTGGTCTTCTTAGAAATAAATAACAGTATAGCAAAGGTACTATTCATGGAATTGTCTTTGTAATTTCTTTTGGGTGCCTACAGCTCTTTTGTAAGGCTCAATATTTATAAACCTAAAAATCTGAATATTCAGTTAGTTTTGGGTGAGCAATTCAACTGAATTCATAGGTAAATAATTCTCATTTATGACATCAAATATCTAAAAGGCAAATTCATTTTGTTTAAGATTTTCAATTTTCACTTTCATTAGTACGTAGCAGTATTCTATAATAATAAAATCAGTCAAATGTTATTCCACTATGCCAATGTTTAATTTTTCATTGTCCAATTAATTCTACAAAAACTCAGTGTATCGTAAAAAGTTACGATAACAATAAATCTATTTTAAAAATAAGATAAGTTGCTGAAATACTAAACTACAGCTAAATCCTATTGTTAAGGATTTAGGGCATATAGAATTCATTATACATTCCTGTGTTTTAATTACCAAAGTTAATTATATTTTTTAATTATAGTGTAAGCTTGTAGCACTTTTTCCTTTAACATATTGATCGTTTAAAATTGTGTTGCATTTTATTATTGAAAATTTTATGTAAGTACTTCATTGATAAAGCAAGTAAGTTTAAAGTTCCTACGACAACATAACAAGCATGGGTTAAAGAACCACAATTCCATCCATTGCTGTTTAAAATTTAACCCTAAGTAAGTCAATTAAATAAATCAAAACCGTCAATGAAAATGAAATAAAATCACAAAATAAGTAAAATACAAATAAATTTATTGCCTACCTATAAGTAACAAGTATGTGTTCTTTATTACAGTCTCCTTAAACTTAGGTAGCTATTAAATCATACTATCGTAGTAACAAAATAAAAAACATTGGGAAAAGTGTTCGTATTCTCAGCGCATCTTACCAGTAACACGAACTCGGCGGAAAGAAAACTTCCAACCTGCCAGCTAGTCACGACACTGAAAAGTTGTCATAACGCATAACCACAACTCGTACGGAAGTTCGGGCCACTTGGCAACGTCATACAAGTACTCCAAGTTGCTCGGTTGGCGTTAGTGATGGGAATCAATTAGTTTTGACACGCGGGGAGCGGGGGGCCCGGTTGTACACGACGCGGGCTAATCGCAACGCGGCGACACTCGTGACTGCGGCGATCGCAACTCGCCCGCCGCGCCTCACCGCGCGCACGCGCTCCGCTCCAAACCAAAACCTACCCAACGAACACCTGTAATCTTATCCCTAACCCCTTAAAGCTCAAAATCGCCAACCAACCTGCTCATCAGACGAACGCTCGCCGCAAATTTTTCTCAATGTCCGTACCAACTAAATTGCAAAACCGCCGCGCCGAGGAATAGCGGTAGGGTCTGTAATCACCTAGAGAACAACAAGGCGGGATTACGAGAACCCGCTTTTTTCATAACGAAACGCGGTAATTCACACTCAACTTAATCTTATAATCGACCTGAAAATTAGCATAAAGTCTGTACAGCGAAATTTCATTTCTGCCTCACCCGGCTCGGATTACTGTATAATTCGGTAGTTTATTCGTTCCGCGGAAGGTTGTATCGTCAGCTAATTAGTCCAAATTTGTTGTGTCCGTTTTGTAACGCCCCTCAACGATTGACGAACTGGGAATGACATTTGCCTAAAGGGATTTCTCTAGAGTTGAAGAATTTTTAGTTTCCTTCATTTTAGCAATGAGAGATAAAAATGCGATGTTTATTAATGTGATATATATAATATATTATCAGTACTGATTTTTCAAACCTTAACTTATGTTGTCATATTTATTTACTTTATTTTGTTATAATCAAAAAAGAAATTTTGACACATACATACCAAAAATAATGAGAAAATTCATCTAAAAAGAAAACTAATGTAACTGATAAACACGATAATAATACTTGTTTACGAACTGTAACATAACACAAAATTGCTTTCAGTAAATATATGCTTCTAAGACTATCAAAAGAATATTACTTTTAGAAATTAGGTTTACATGTCAAATATTATATTAATATAATGAATAAACGTTGAGCAATTAAATTATATTAATATAATAGCAAGAGCGCATTCGAGCACAGGTCTGATGTTTATTTAATTATGATCCAATTTCATCTAACTTATGTATGAAACGTAATATAGGGTAAGGGTACCAAAGCATGAACGCTTATGGCATTTTGGAATTTTTTAAAATTATAAGCACATACTTCAGGGTGACTGGGTCATATGATTGTTACTCTTATAAGTACTCATCAAAAAAGCCTAACAAATTAATATGTTGTACGGTTTTGAACTTTTTAACGATTGTTACTACTGTAATATAATTATAATAGACACTATCGAAAATGTGCTATTTTTAAAATCAGCCAACTTTATTTTTGAGAAAAAAAATACTACCAATCTAGTTCTCTAAAAAAAAATACATCAATTAATAAAATATACAGTTCCTGCAAATGATACGTGTTGCTTAGACTTTTTAGATGTGTGTATTAAAAATATATTCAAGTTTTATACAGCATGGCCAATATGCCATTAATGTACATATTTTATGAAATAATAGATTTAATGAAAAGTGACCCTCTGTTACCAGTGAATGAACACGTCGTACTCCAGTGAATGAATGCTTAGCGTTGCCTACTAATTTCGCTAAAAATCACAATTTTCTGATAATTTATTTGCTTAGTATTTTATTTTAAACTTGACGCACTCGAGGTGAAAATCTGGCTGTTGTAGCAGTTTTACCTGCCACACCAACTATCCACACTTTGACAGCCTGCAAAATTACTTTTTCACACCTCTTTTGAAATTCTCCGGTTGATAAGGAACGTGCGAGGCCAATAAACTGCGGAATAAGTAACCAAATGTCCTTGTTCGTTCTGAAATGTTGGCTGTAATAGTAAATTAACTAAATAAATAAATTAACATTTGGAATCGGTGCGATTATATTGATAGATCTGAGTTGCTATTTACTGCTTGGGTTGACATGGCACCGACTCCAAATATTAATTTGACTTTAAATGCAGACATTAAATAGGAATATGCATTATCTCTTACTTTTTAGTGGTTTTGTTTTATAAAGTCGGTTTTTTTTTCACTTTTTATAAGCCAGAGCAACATCAAGTTACTAAATATAGATGTCTCACCTGCGATCTCTCTTTCATATTTCGTTAAATAACCATGTTTGGTTATTTAACGAAACTATAACACGATATGTTTACTGTTCGTAATTCAGGAGATCCGTTGTTTATTTCCGAAAGTCTTTATCAGATCTTCACCATATAAATTTGGGAACATCTCGCTAACAAACTCTTTAAACAAAAAAAAAGATCATAATCGATTTACAAATCTCGGAGATATGCGTAAACAACAATATATATTTAATGAATCGGGAACCTCCCCCTTTCGGAAGTCGGTTAAAAATAACCATTTGTCTATCTTATTATGCACGTTTCTTTACAAAATCTCTCGTGCAGTGTGAGCAACGCTTAAAACAAAAATGCATTGTTTTAGCAAAACCTTAATTCTTACTCATACAAACACAGACGCAACACAACGCGTCAACTTTAAACAGTCACCATTTTGTAATTACGAATCACTAAATAATTTTTGTTTTAACAGATTATGTTTTTAAACCTGTTCTCTTGTAAAAATAATATTCAGTCTAGAAGAAATCAATAGTTTCCTTATTTTATTGAAAAAACTCACTTTTCATTCACTGTGGGGTGTTCATTCACTGGAGCACAAACCCTATTTTTTCATTACGTCTCTACATTGCAATCATCATGGCGTATGATAAAAAAAAAATTGTTTATTACCCACTATGGATGGATAGACGCAACGAAGTGGTTCTTCATAAAAATTTGCAATAAAATTTTTATTATTCATAAATCAAGCCGGTATAAGTGGTATAGAAATTAGATACTTTATGGCTTTCAATTTTGTATTTGTTCGGTTAATGGTGGGTTTGGGATGCTTGATTTTATATTTTTTTTATGTTTGGTTGGGTTGTTTGTTTGTTTTAAATTACCATTCTTTTACTTAATTTATTTTTTACTATAATCGTTTTTTTTTCTTTTTTAATTTCAATGTCTATACGTCAGATTACAGCTGTATAATATATTTAAATGTCTTTCTTCCTTCCTACAATCTAGGAATTATCCTTGAAAAGAGGCGTGAAAAAGACTTTGCCACCACATAATATTAGGTAGGGTAAAGGTCATTTGTCTACCTAGCTATAAAAAAAAGTCTCGCATGGTGCCAATATCCAAGATATTCGATTAACGATAAACCAAAATAAACAGAAGTCGTATCAACTTTCTGTGTATTGTGAACTTCGTTATACCGCGAGTAGGAGGGGCAACGATGACAATCATGATAATATCGAAACTTAATGCATACCGTCGTAATTAGTCACAATGTATACTGTGAATTTATTGGAGTACTACTGGAAAACAATTACGGTATATTGATAAAATCCATGATTTCGTCCGCGTTCCAATAAGTTTCAAAGAAATTTATTATTAGGTACCTCTGTTACTCATCATACCATTTATCTATCGCGCGATTTGAAAATAGAATTACGGTGCACTTAAGTAATAGTTTGCGAAAACTTTGTTTATACAGATCAAATGACATCGTATCGCGGAAACATTTAGGCACTTATTTTTTAATTACTGTAGATCTTTTATGTATTCTTTATCAGAGAAAGAGAAGTATAATCTCTGCCATACATAAAAAAAAAAGTTATAAGCTACTTTACCTATAATTACAGTGTAAGCAAATTAGCACAACGACTGCCTTTTGATTTTATGTCCCAAAAAAACGATACACATAAATTCCGCGCAAAAGCAAAAGTATTCCTGTCCGTTATTTCATTAAGCGATGAGAGAATTCGATGGAATCGTGTACGGATGAGCAATTTTTTGTACATCTCAAAAGGAACATTAGGTATGATTCTTTTTATTCCAATGAACGGCGTTGGACCGTGAAATGTATGTGATTACACTGTACGAGTGGCAGGTATCTGCTAACGGAACATATTGGTAATAAAAATGTTTCCAACTTGTAACTACCTGTCAATAAATTGGAATATGATAAAACAATTTCCAGTATATGAATCTTTTGGACGGATGACGGTCGATAACTTACGGTGCGCTTACACCAATTTGACAAGTCGAACAGATGAAAATGTAGTGTAAAATAATGAGACTGTGTCTAATACTATTGCGAGATAAGAGGTATAGCGGATTTTCCGCTGGAATTCTGTTATATGCAGGTTATTCCTCAGACGGGCGCTCACGGCTGGGGAATAACCTGCATATTACAGAAGACCACAGTAAAATAACACAGCCTTTTGGTGGTGTGGTGTTTCTGTCAGGGTGTCTTTACTCAGAGCTTTGGAACCTTTTACAGGGCTCCTCGGGGTAAAGGATCGGGTCAGGGTAGGCAACCGCTCGAGTGGTATTTTGTCTTCGCAAGCGTCAATAGGCTATGGTGGCCGCTAACCACCAGGCGTGCCATATGTCTGTTTACCAGTCTGAAAAAACATTAAAAAATATAAGAAAAAAAAATAAGAAAAACAAAAAAATGAAGAACTCGATGGCGCAAGTGGTTAGCGCGTTCGGCTGCGATCGTTGAAGTTAAATAACTTTCGCAGCGGTCGGTCATTGGGTGGGTGGCCAAAAATTTACTATGTCGAGCTCATCCGTGCTTCGGAAGGCACGTCAAACCGTTGGTCCCGGCTGCATCTGCAGTCGTAAGCACCCGAAAATCTGCACTGGGCCCGCGTGGTGGATCATGGCCCAATCTCCCTATTCAATCTATAGGGAAGGTCTGTGTCCCAGCAGTGGGGACATTAATAGGGTGATGATGATGATGGTGATGTTGAAGAAAAAATATTGGGAAAAGACTAATATCACAAATAATGTAACCGTTGAACTTAACGATAATGGTCGTACCAGACATATCAGCTCGGAAAGGGTTGGGCATTATATCTACTAGAGCCATTCAGTTCTTTGCATAAATATGCCTACTGCAACACACTAATTCGTATCGTAATGTAATCGCCTCGCCTTAGAATGAGCTCCCGATTGTGCGTGGTCAACTCTCGTAGCTTACGTCTCTCCGTAGCGTAGCTTATGTCTCTCCATAGCGTAGCTTTCGTCTCTCCGTAGCCTAGCCTATGTCTCTCCGTAGCGTAGCTTACCTCTCTCCGTAGCCTAGCTTATGTCTTTCCGTAGCGTAGCTTATGTCTCTCCGTATCCTAGCTTACATCTCAATGTTCACACTCTATACCTAATACCTTTACAAGTATTAAACATTTGAAAAAGAAGCGGT